GTACGCTATATATTCTAAGTACGAAGTTGATTTATGTTTTTCTTGTGTACGCTATATATTCTAAGTACGAAGTTGATTTATGTTTTTCTTGTGTACGCTATATATTCTAAGTACGAAGTTAATTTACGTTTTCCTTGTGTACGCTATATACTCTAAGTACGAAGTTAATTTATGTTTTCCTTGTGTACGCTATATACTGTAAGTACGAAGTTAATTTATGTTTTCCTTGTGTACGCTAAATATTCTAAGTACGATAATATACAAATGTTGGTTGGGTAGGAGAAATTATCTTATTCATATCAAATGAGGTTTTTAATTATTCTTAGAATGATAGAACGAACATGTCGATGCTAAGTGCTCGGTATTTAATTATTATAGCTGTGGTACTAAGGGCTACATGTTTACATAAAGCTTTTTATCTTACTCCATGCTGATGATACACTACTTTTCTCAGACTGTCCAGTTGACTTGCAACTTCAATTAAATGTATTCAGTGAATACTGTAAACAGTGGGAATTAAAGGTTAATACAGAAAAAAACAAATGCATAGTATTTAGTAAATGACGTAAAAACAATAGAAATGTATTTTTATTTAATAATGAGGTGATAGAGTTGGTGAACAATTTTACCTATTTGGGTACGGCATTTAGTCGAACTGTTTCATTCAATGAAATGAAAAAATACAATATTAAAAAGGCTACTATAGCAATGTATGACGTTATAAAGAAAGGTAGGCTACATAACTTATCAGTTCATTGTATATATGATGTATTTGACAAGATTGTAAAACCCATACTGTTGTATGGTTGTGAAGTTTGGGGTCTTACTGACCTTAAGGTAATTGAACGTGTACATTTAAAGTTTTGTAAAATATTACTAGGGTTAAAATGTATGTTTCTCTATGCATTGTATTGTGAAAGAGAATAAAGTTGAATTGAATTGAATTGCATACTTGTAAAAGGTCATATAGATAAACACAATGGACTGTATCGTGGTATAGACAGCGTCCTTCCTGTCATGTAAATAGGGAGGCTAATATACAGTATTTGGTTGACAGTTCACACATACAACCATGCACATGTCTAAATCTAACGTCGCATACACAGCAGAACTGCACGTAATACATAGGTCAAAGGTCATATTAACATATATCTACAGCATGTCATACGGGCATATAACCATATGACATGTCATACATAGGTCAAAGGTCATATGGACAGATAACTATATGATATGTCATACATAGGTCAAAGGTCATACGGGCAGATAACCATATGACATGTCATACATAGGTCAATGGTCATACGGACAGATAACTATATGACATGTCATACATAGGTCAAAGGTCATACGGACAGATAAATATATGACATGTCATACATAGGTCAAAGGTCATATACACATATATCTACAGCATGTCATCCGGGCAGATAACCATATGACATGTAACATATATGTCAAAGGTCATGTAGACAGATAAGTAAACCATACGTCATACGTAGACCAAAGATCAAATAGACAGATAACTATGAGAAACGTCTTACATAGATCTATGGCCATATATATAGATGAATATATGGCACGTCATATATAGGTCAAATGTCATGTAGATAACTATACAATACGTCATATAACCATAAGATGACGGTACACGAATGCAGCCAGAGGTTACATACATGACAGACATGCCTGGTGATACCATCTCTAAGCTCTACCTCCGAATTAGCTCACAGATTGTAAGTAAAATCAAGATTCTCGTAATAACTCAAGATCGCGTTTCGTCTGTAGTATACGTAATTTAATCACGTCCTTCTATTAGAAGATACGTTAAATCGTTTAAAATGAAGGAACACTTTTATGTAAATAATTCATCATTTTATTAGATTTCTCAGTTACCTTTGATTGCCTTCGTCTAAAACTAAACTTTTAGAAATTGTATTCAATAATTGAGGTTACAGTATGTCATAAAACTTGATAACAAAACTGCAATAAGGAAACCAACTATATATATTCCTCAGTAAAACAAGTGGCTGTCAAGGATAAAACCGGAAACATCCAGGTAACATGTGTAGTGATTTTCTGATCAGTTGTTTCCCTGCATATATAAATGTACATGTTCGTACTTGTAATATAATTATGACATGGAACACCTGTCGATCAAAGTGAAATCTAGACCACATGCCGATTTTCAGGTTGTGAGAATAACAAAAATAATATCACGTAATAATAATAAAAAAAAACCGAAAGAAAAATGCATGTTAGTTGTCGCTTTGAACCATCAAAATTCTAAAAAAAATATGTATTAAAAAAGTGCCTTGACTCGAAAATGTCGTTTTAGATAATTACTTTTCTTTCACCAAGAACTTAAATTGTAATTATTATCATGCATGTATCTAAAGTTGCTCCGTGTACGTTACGAGTTCGAAATGTTCGACTCATCTGATGGAATTTGAGTTAATCGGGTTCCTCAGCATAGGCTACTGTGTATCACTAAGTATAAATGTCAGTACTGGGAGGATGCTATAATAACAATAATTGGAGGTTCTTATATACCGCTTTATCACATCGTCTTAAAGCGGTTCACAAATTATCATCCGTGGTTATAGGGCCTTTGCAACCAGCCAATACATTTCTCAACTCCGTGTTAACCTGGGGGTTTATATATGTTATTATGATTGTCACTAACAGGGACGTACATACACATACAGAAGACTGAATGTGTATTTTTTGTACAGAAATTAAAAAAAAACCACAAATTGACATCAACGTTTAATAATGTGTTTAAAACCATTAAATCGGCAGTTCTGGCTTCCGCTGGTAGTGAATATTCCAGATCGTGGCAGCCCAAACCCTAACACTATTTGAACCCTGCTTTACCGTTCTGGTGCGAGGCGTTTCTAGAATACTATATTTACCTAAAGGAAAAAAATGGAAAGTTTTAAATCAATGTGTTTATAGATAAAAAGTGCGTGGACCGTTAAGTTTCTTAAAAGTTGGAATGGTTTTAGCAGAGACGTATATAAATATATACGTCTCTGGTGCAACTAACTCATTTTATCTTTAATCAGTTACTGTGCTGCCCGTGTTTTAGCAATTTTCTTAGTATGCATGGTTTAATGTTACATTTACATTCTGTTTTATTTGTTATATAGCCGGTTGTAAAAGCCTACCATTGGCTTGTGTTACCATGTTTTTAACCATGTACCGACTTTAACTAGAACACTGACAGGTCAGTAAGGGCCCCGTCTTGTGGCAATATATCCCCCATAATCGTCAAGAAGCGATCTGCCCATATAGCTAAGCTTGACGTTTGACATTTGGACTTCAAAAAGAATCGCAAGGAAGCAAAATATACATTTTACATGTACTATGATGTGAGTCTAGTTTCCTTCCACCTCCTTATTTGCTGGGCTAACAGAAATGTAAATACCAGTGCAACACTCATTTGTTAGCTTTGACTTGTTTTATTCACCTTATATACCTCCTCCATCAAGAGTCATGGTCAAAGTCAGAGATCGACTTTGTCTTTGACCTTTGGACCCAAATGACCTTGACCATTAACCCAGTGACCCTGATCTTTAGACAGTTGACTTATTTTTTAATTCAGACCAACTTGACATTTTAATATCATAACAAAATGTTCATCAGTGAAAAATACAAAACTTGACCTTGAACCTTTGGACCCCGTGACCTGGAACTAAGGTCAGTTGACTCTGTGTTAAGTTCTGAACAACATTGCTTCATAATGTCATAACAAAATGTGCATCAGGGAAAAGGTACAAAATCTAACCTTCACCTTTGACCCAGTGACCTTGACCTTTGGTCAGTTAACTCCTTGTTTAATTCTGATCAACTTTGCTCCATCATGTCATAACAAAATGTTCATCAGTGAAAATGCAAAATTTGAGCTTGACCTTTGAATCTAATGACCTTGACCTTTGACCTTGACTTTTTACCTCAGTGTGTCTCTTTGTTTAATTCCGAACAACTTTGCTTCATAATGTCATAGCGAAATATTCACCAGTGAAAAGCTACAAAATGTGACCTTGACCCCTGATCCGATGACCTTGACCTTAGGTCAGTTGACTCCTTGTTTAATTCTGATCGACTTTGCTCCATAATGTCATAACAAAATGTTCATCAGTGAAAAGATGTAAAATTTGACCTAGACCTTTGAACCTAATGACCTTGACCTCTGACCTTGACTTTTTACCTTAATGTGTATTTTTGTGAACTGAACATCTTGACCAAGTTTCATGTACATCGGTCCATAGATACCAAAGATACGGGGCAGGAACAAAATGTGTGGACGGACAGATAGACAGACAGACAGAGTGATTACTATAGGGCACCCGTATCTCCGATACGGGGCCCTAATTAGAAGTTACTTTACTTGATCATGATTTGACTTGAAAAACAAAGAGGTCCAGAGTCCTTTTACTTTTTGAGCTATAAACACAGACATTGACAAGTCAGTTTCCTTGTCAATTTGTAGTGTTCCCTCTAGTTGCTGTGGCCTTTTATGAACTTACTGCTGGTACTTCTTGCTTTTACCTCAGACATCTATAATAATTTAGCACTAGGTCATCAAACAGATGTAGCCGTTATGGATTTTTCAAAGACGTTCGACAAAGTCGACCATGCCCGACTCATTCTTAAACTCACTCGTTTCGGCATTCACAGCAAAATCATTGCTTGGGTCCAAAATTTTCTCCTAGACCGTAGTTAGAGAGTTGCTGTAAGTAACACCAAATCTTCATCCTGTCCTGTCCTCTCTGGAGTCCCCCAAGGCTCAGTCATGGGGCCCTGCCTTTTTCTAATCTATATAAATTCTATCACAAGCCAAGTTAGACTTTTTGCAGACGACACTATTGTCTATGTAACTGTTTCATCCGACTCTGATGCAGAAACACTACAAAAAGACTTAAATCTTCTGGAAAAGTGGGGAAAAATGGTTAATGTCATTCAACCCTGATAAATGTGAAATTCTACACATCTCAAAGAAAAGGCTGACACACAAATTTAACTATATTCTCCATGGACAAATTTTAAAGCAAGCAGATTCGGCTAAATACCTGGGCTTAACCATCACTAAAATCTTTTCATGGAACACCCACATCAATAACATTACCAACAAGGCAAATTCGTCCCTAAGATTCATTCGGAGAAATATGAAAACCACCAATGTAAAAACAAAAGAGTAAGCTTATAAAACGTATGTCCGCACATTGAATACTGTAGCACCATCTGGGATCCATGGCAGGCAAACCTTACCCATAAAGTTAAAATGGTGCAGAGAAAAGCCGCCAGGTTCACCGTTGGGTGCTATAACTACACCAGTAGTGTTACAGAAATGGACCAAACCCTGAACTGGCAATCCCTTGAACAACGCCGTAAAATGACCTCCACCATATTGCTATGTAAAATCTTAAACAGTCTTGTGGCATATGATGGCAATCTACAAATTCTCCAGCAAACCCGACAACACAAATTCCAGATTCCACACAGCTCCACAAATTATCATGCGAATTCATTCTTTCCTAGAGTAATTCGTACCTGGAACAGCCTCCCAACCTTCATCACCGACAGTGCAGACCTCTCAACACTGAAGGCAAATCTCCTCTCTCACAAATTCTAAGCGTACATGTTGTTTTTATCATATAGTTCTAAAAAAATAAAAAATAAAAATACTTGTTTTTAACCGATCTCTCTGACGCCTCTAAATAATGTACATTGAACGTTTTAGAGTATCCTGTTGAAGTTGAAGTTGAAGTTGAAGTAACGTTGCAGCAAGGTACATGCATGTATCATAACTACTATTACCAGTTATCCATGCTGTATTATAGGGTGTACAGGGGTCGAACTCCCTTAGCCACTAAACAGGTGTGTTTTTGTGAAATAGAAAAGTATAATATACACAAAATCAGGAAATTGACGAACAAATCGGAACTCTTCTTTGTTGGAGACACAACAGAAATCATTGGGTTTTTCTACCTTAAGCATGACATGAAGATGCCTCTGTGTATAAAGATATAAAGATAAAGAACATGAAAATAACTAATTCCAATATTTTGTTACTCTCTTCATGTTTTATATCATTCCATTACCAGCATTATTTTATTGATTATAGCCTATGGCACATGTAACATTTTATACCTATTTTTTTTTATAACAGAAGTGTCTTAGGAGTCTTATCAAATTATCAATATATACTCTATAATTATGTAACTATATAATTATGTAACTATTTTATGAATTGAATTGATTTATTTAGATTTAAGGGACCCCATTGGAATTAAGCCACAATGTGGCTTTGTGGGTCATCCCAGGTTAAGGCCTTAATTAATCTACTACAATCCAGTTTCAACACCTGACTGACTTCTAATCTTATGGCATAAATAACTTATTTAGAAGATCTAATTCTGTGAAAATATATATATATTTATGTCCAATATGCAAAATGTGATAGAAGTGTATTATTTGCCTTTTACCTGAATAAATATTATTATTTTTATTATTAACGGTGCCATTGAGAAGGGACTTGCCTGTGTACATGTGAACTATTTAGTGTAATGCCATCTTCTTTATTTCCATTGGCTGTCTGTGCGCCCACACATGTTCCTTCCGTATTTATTTCAACACACTTATTCCGGAATATGTAAACACCAGATTCACAGCTGAGAGAAAGATGGCTTGCAGAGCCGTTAGTTTACGATTTCTTATTCCAAAATTTGCGTCATGCGTCAATCGGGGAAATTCAGGAACAATTCCAGCTTTAATTAGGAAGACACAACACACCAGAAACTCAGCAAGTCGACACAGATTTTCATCGACAGCAGCAAAACCAAAGAAAGAAACGTGAGTTGATACCGAGTCTCTTGACACTGTCATCACAGTCCAAGTTCATTTAAAGTTAATTTTATGTCGAGCTAATTGACCAGATTGTGGCTTTTATGATCTGTTTATTTGTTAACAGTGAGTAGTATTTTGACTAAGTTTACACTTAATTGAAAAACTTTTCCTTGCCTTAAAACTTCTTCATGAAAACCAAGATTTAATAGGTAACTTAATCAATAGGCCTAATTTTTGACCCGAATAACACTGACCCATTTCCAGTTCTTACTGTGACCCACACATGATCATGTCACATCATAAAAACCATGATAATTTTTACAACTATGTTCATTGTTGGCCAGTTGCGACTGATTGTATTTCCTTTGTATATTGTCAGTCTGTAATCAAGTCCAGTACACTCTGCCGATTGAGCTATATAGCTATAAAGACCTATAGCTATCTACACCTATAAATTATAGCTGTATTGAGCTATATTTTCTCAGTTTTCAATTTTCATTAAATTAAAGCAAAGTCGCATAAACCAATAAGGTTTTTGGTAATGGTGACTACAAAAAGCATACAGTTAGATGTTTATTTTCATTTTTCATAAAAAAAAATCACTTGAAAATAGCTCAAAAGACCTATTTCAGATAGGTCAATAGAGCTATTATAGGTCTTTACAGCTATATAGCTTAATCGGCAGAGTGTACTTACTAGTGGATCTGGTAATTATGGTTTTAGACAACATTTTAATAACATGTAGGAAATAATTCATTTTGAAAACTTGCCAAATAGAACCACAGATTGCGAACGAGAAAAATACTTATGCACTTATTCCGTCTTTGAGTATTGCAGAGTTATCTTCTCTTGGGAGCAGGTATTGATTGTTACGTCACTTGTTTGTGAGAGTAACGTCATCAATTTTTGGGGAAACGACGTCATTTTCTCACACAAACCAATGACGTAACAATCAATACCTGCTCCTAAGAGAAGATAACTCTGCAATACGCAAAGACGGAATAGGCCTATATACAGAAAGGTATTTTAACTTATCCAGAAACAAAACCATGGGTCATTAACTTTAGCCCACGTGCACTAGTATCGACAAACAGCAGCCAATCCTGACAAATTAAAACTGAAGGCTATATCTTCACAGCCATATATTTTTCTGGGTCGCACATGGCTAAGAATGAAGTGTTCTGATTTTTTAAATCTAGTTATTTATTTTGGATCAGTAAGAATGTGTGTTTCAAGCCGTGTGTTACCTCGAATATAGAGAATATATATGGCAACTTATTAGAACTTTGTTTGCATAAATAATGAAAATTCAAAAGGCTTTAGGATGAAAATTAATTAAAAAAGTGACAAAAAAATATATAAATCTACAGATTTACATGTGCTTAATAATATGATTCTGATACAACAAGCATTCTAAAAATTTAGAAGGATGTATCTATGCTTGTGTTTGTTGTTAAGTTGGATTTTCACCTACCGGTAATCTAGATCAGAAAGGACAACTGCTTTTTTTAAGCTTCCTGCATTTTTGTTTATATGAGTATGGCTTGTAGAATCTCCTGGTCCAATTATATATATATAATTAGCAGGTGGTTGAATTAATTGCCCTTCCCAAAAAAGTGGACTTGAGCAAGGCTACTACATCAAATACCTTCAGCCACCTTTACAATGTATGTGCAAGAATCCTGGAACACAAGATTACCAAACACACAAGAATATTGTACACACAATATTACCAAGTTTACAAGTTTATTGTTTTCCCTCAGAAACATTAAAATATATAACATGAGGTATCAGAGTATAATAATACACATGTGGTGACAAAATGGATGGCAAGTTCACAAAACAGTACCTAATCATGATACATATTACAACAGTTTGTTCTTTTTTTCCAACAAAAGACAAATTCCATTTAATACTGTCGTGTTACAAAATGACAACAGACCACTCATTTTAATTTGACAGATTTTTTCTATAATACAGAGGAATATATTTCTCTAAACTCTACAATTATTAAATTTGTGCATTTGAATGAATAATGAAATTCGTTGCCTAGCTCTTTTTTACATTAAGTGCATTTTCAGTCTTGTTTTTGAATATTATGCCACCTACCCGTTTCAATGGGAAATTTGAGAACATCTAAATTTGCATAGATATTGGCCTGGTTTTTTCAGAAAGGCTCGTCAAATAAGGCTCACAAGAATACTGTACACACAAGATTACTAGACACACAAGTCTGAGAAAACCAGACACACAAAAATACTGTACACACAAGAATACTGTACATACAAGATTACTAGACACACAAGTCTGAGGATACCAGACACATAAAAATACTGTACACACAAGATTACTAGACACCCAAGTCTGAGAATACCAGACACACAAGTCTGAGAATACATGTACATGACACACAGAAATACTGTACACACAAGAATACTGTACACACAAGATTACTAGACACACAAGTCTGAGAATACCAGACACACAAAAATACTGTACACACAAGAATACTGTACACACAAGATTACCTGCAGACATATACAAGAATACTGTACACACAAGATTATCTGCAGACATACAAGAATACTGTACACACAAGATAACATGAACTGTCTGTATGCATACATACTATGTATTTGTGATACAGGATACAGGTGTACTTTATGGACAGGGATGGTGATGAGATAGAAGCCACAGTTGAAGTTGGTGAAACTTTTCTTACAGCCGCCATTAACAACGATGTGGAGTTGGAAGGTACACATTTAGATAATTGGATACATTGTTTAATACAGGAACTGTTGATACCAGTTTCCCATCCACATACAACATGAACAGGTATTGACAACAAATTTGAATTTTATTTTCAGAATAACAGTACATTTTGTCCAAAGTGATGGGTCTAAGTTCTCGACGACAGCTGCTGTGGGAGAAAACCTTCTGGATATTATTATCGACAATGATATAGATATAGACGGATTTGGTTAGTTTCTATATCTTTATTTATCTATTTGAATTCCCAGCTAAAGTTATTTCTTACATTACTGGTAAGTTAACTGAAGGACATTTGCACTAACCTGGCAAACGTTGATGTCTGAAATACACTAGATACATATGTGTGTTACATGTTAAATTATTCATAATTATAAATTGATCATGTTTATGAAATTATCATGTTATAGTCAAATGTCACTCAGTTGAAGTCTTGAACAATGACCTAGCTTTGAAATTAACAGGTTATTAGCTATTTATTAAAATTGAAATACATGTCTTACCGTACTAATATCTGTCATGGGACCAAATTTAGAACATGTAGATGTTCAAATCTATTCAAGCATTTTTTTTTTATTTCAACTGGGAAATATTTGTATACATATCAATTTTCATAGTTGTTTTAGATATATGTATATATTATATAGGTGTTGAAATGTCATTTATCTGTCATTTGTAAGTGGAAGGGTTACTGTACATTAACATGTGTCCACTACAAAGCACATGTAGACAGGTTGGGAACTGGCACAACGTTCTGAGCCTGTCTGGTATCAGTGAGATACCTTTTTATGTTATGGATGATAGATGGATGGATGGTAGCACGTTATACAAAACACAGGATTCAGTCTGTTTTGTGAAATACATTCAAAACAAAAACTGTTCACCTGAAATTGGACTATAATGAAAAATAGATATAAAAAATTATAAAACATGAAAGTGCAGGTTAACGTTAAGTGCAATATCGCAAATGTTATAGAAATTCTTTGAAAGTCAACACAGTTCTCCACCTTGTTCCTTCTAGTAGCAAATTATAGACATCTGATATAACTTGATTATTATTTGATATGGAGAAATGTTTGTATGCATTATCCATGAAAGTAAGTAGAAGTTCAGTCTACACCTACAGTTGGTTAACAGTAAACATTAATTTGGTCTTAGAGTATTTTCTGATACTAGAGTTTCTTATCATACAATGGATTATGTGCCCCTCCCAAACTGCTAAGAGTTTGAATAGTTTATAGAGGGTTGTACTAAACTAACTTTAGCTGAAATCACCTGTAAGGAACCCCAAAACATTTACTTGCTACACTTACACAATTAACCCCCGATAAACAGGAAGATGATCATAGTTATATTTGTACTTTTACAATAATCTCTCTTATGTTTAATAATAAATATTTACGTATGCATAACGGTATATCAGTGGTGTGGGCCATATACACAAGTGACCCAACATCTGGGGTCACTTTCACCATAAGACCTTAGTTGTTGTGAAAGACATGACAGTCAATCAATCGAGAACCCTTATATACAGTTTATAATGTCATCTATGTCAGCAAACTTGTATATAAAATGGTGTTACCAGATATCTAACTATGGGGATTGGGGGTCCAAATAACATTGAGTGGGGAGAGGGCTATAGACAAGAAAACACCATTGTGGATTTTATTCTAGATACAGATGTCTTTTGAATAGTGTACATTAATATATGAACTACAATCAGGGTTGTCATAGAATTTGGTGACCGGTTACTCGAAATATCTTCCGACCGGTTATATGTCAATTAGCTAATCAACCCAAAAAACCAAATATGTTGAATGTTAAAAGGGCTGGTCGGGGAAAAAATGTCATATTTGCTAAAATGGCATAAACATGTTTAAAATACCTTCTTATCAAATATGCTGATTCAAATTTTGCTGAAATTCACTCCCTAAGAATAAATTTTTTAATTATATTAAAGAAATCCTAAATCGTCACCTGACAGTCTAAAACTCTCAATTGACCCAGATCAGTGATGTAATTTTACCGCATGCGCGTCATCAAAACGGCCAAATGTTAACATTGCGGCGAAAGAAATAGATGCATGCAAAAGTCATGACAGGCACTAGGTATCAATACCGTTATTAGCTCACCTGGTCCAAAGGACCAAGGTGAGCTTATGCAATACAATGGCATCCGTCCGTCAACAATTTCTTTAAACGACTTCTTCTTCTTAACCACTGATTGGAATTTAACTAAATTTGACTGGAAGCATCCTTAGGTGGTGGGGATTCAAAATTGTGGGGCTGAGGGGCGGGGCAAAAAGGGGGCAATTTGGCCAGTCCCTGGGCTATAACTTTAAAACGGTTGAGATCCCCACCCCAAAACTATATATACAAATGCTGGGCATATAGAGACGAATGCAGTCATGATATTAGAATAGACCCTGGGGTCTGACCGAACCCCTAGGGACCTAGTTTCTTAGTCACAGCTTGGAAACAGTTGAGATCACCACCCTATAACCATATATACAATTGTTGAGTATAAAGAGATGAATGCACATATGCTTCCAGGATGGCCTTAGGGACTACCCCGCGCTTGGATACTTAACCCCTGGGTCATAAATTCGAAATGGTTAAGATCCCCACCCCAAAACTATATATACAATTGTTGCATGGCATAAAGAGACTAATGCAGTCATGATATGAGAATTGACCCCAGGGTCTGCCCCACCCTTGCAGACTTAACCCCTGGGTCATAACTTTGAAAGGGTTGAGATTCCCACCCTATAACCATATATACAATTGCTGGCAAAAAGAGACAAATGCAGTCATGATATTTGAATTGATCCTGGGGTCACCAAAACCCTAGGGACCTAGTTTCTGAGTCACAGCTTGGAAACAGTTGAGATCCCCACCCCATAACCATACATAAAATTGCTAGGCATGAAAAATCTAATACAGATATATGCTATAAGGATTGGCCTTGGGGTTTGGCATATTCCCTTGGATATCATTTGTAGAATATTTTGCCATGATTGCTTAGATATCCAGGTGAGCGATACAGGCCCTCTGGGCCTCTTGTATATAACAACAACATATATATAGGTAGGGTTACTACACTTGCATCATAAATGTCCCTTGAAAACAATTATTTAGGTAAAGTATTGCTGTCTTGTCCGATAGTTGAGTCCAGCATGGCTGATAGACAGCATGCTATTGTTGTTATCTTCACTGCCTCACTTACGAAACAACCACGTGACATATATAAATAGATCTGCGCTAAATTTACGCGGGGCTTCCCCGAGATTTCAGTGGTCAAAACTGGTCATTGTAAGCAGAACTCTACCATCATATTGCCGTGGTTTAACTTTTGGAAGGCCAGAGAACGCATTTAGACCCATTTATTTTGTATTTTTTCCCCCCGACCAGCCCCTTTAAGCAAATGTCCTGCTCAAAAGGCATTACATATATAATTAGCAGAACACTTAACTCATGTATTTCAAGTTCTCAACAATTCAGTGCAGAAAATACATGTAACCTTAATAAATAAAAAAATATGGGTAAAAAAGGTTAGAATAAAACAGGCTAGAATAAAAGTTGCATTGTATTTCTACTCGATATCATATGTGGTAATATTGTTATTGAGAAACATAATTTGACGGGCAAATTAATCCATAGATGATTGCACCTCTTTATATGTTTCACTGATCATGAAATATTATTCAGTTGTGAACTATTGAGATAATTTAACGTCTAGCCCTTAAAAGTTGTGAACTATTGAGATAATTTATTGTCTAGCCCTTAAAAGTTGTGAACTATTGAGATAATTTAATGTCTAGCGCTTAAAAGTTGTGAACTATTGAGATAATTTAACGTCTAGCCCTTAAAAGTTGTGAACTATTGAGATAATTTAACGTCTAGCCTTTAAAAGCGAGTTTTACCGGTCGGCAAAGTTAACATTTCATAAATTTGCATTCTGACTCGCTTTTAAAATCTGTTCAGGCTTTTTATGGTGCTGTCGGCATCTTTTTGTCAATCTTTATATCATTACTATTACAGTATTGAGTACAAGAAACACAGCTAACTGGTCAGTCTAGATATGAAAACTGTTTTATAACTTGATATTGGTCTCATTGATCGACAATTTGTTGGTATAATCCTGGTAAACAAGAGGCACCCTGTGGGGTAAATAAATGTCTGACTTTTCAGTTATTGATTTTAGTAACCGGTTCATGGTTTTCCTACCGAGTTTCCGGTTAACAGGCTAAATGTTGACATCCCTAAATACAGTTTCAATCGTAGATATCTTTCTGATAGCTCACCCAGGAAATCCTAACTTGTGCTACTGAACCAAATTTTTAAGCCTCTTGATGTGGGTTGTTTTGTTGTAAAAAGACATTAAAAGAGTTGTAAGCTTCAAACAATCAGATTATAAAACATGTAGGTGCATGGTGAGTGGTGACCAGTATTTACGTCACATCAAACACACCAATATGAATGATCATTTACTCCTTTCTGAACTGCTTAAAAATGTCCAACAGTCCTGATTACATTGATTGTACGTACAGTTTTTTTCTGTACGATGTGGACAGATATGTTACTAGGAACTAACTGTTTACCGTCTGGCTGCAGGTGCCTGTGAGGGAACCCTAGCCTGCTCCACCTGCCACCTAATCTTCAAACAAGAGGATTATGACAAGATACCAGATAAACCTACAGATGAAGAGCTTGATATGCTGGACTTAGCGTATGGTTTATCGAGCACGTAAGTATATCGCTGATTTAAATTTCATAGAAATAGTAAAAAAGGAGTGTTAAGATGGTGGAGACATAATATTTTTAGTAAAAAAAAGGAAAAACAATTGTGTCAAGGAAGAAGGAAGTAACTTAAAGAAAGTTGTGTAAATTGTCCTAAGAAAACATTTTGTGTGTATTGATCATGATCAATACAGAAAAACAGACATATAATGCCACTATTTATCCAGAGAAATTTGGGCAGTATATTGAGTAAGATGTATGAAGGAATTGTTGAGAAACAAGAAAAAGGCATTAGATGAGGTGGCAAATGAAACGAGGGGCATCATATTGTGGTTTCACTGTGTTTTTTCACATGTACTCTAAATCTTAAAAATACCACTATATAACGTAAGATACAATGATAATTTAATTCTTTTTGAAACAAGCATTTCTATTGGTTTATTTTATAAAAAAACTGACAAAAGAACTTCATGGTTTATTCAGAGAACACTCTTTTTTATATTATGGCTCAATAACGAAAAAAACCCATTAAAGTTAATCCTTAAATGATCACTTAATATTTAATGTAATCTCTGACATTGCAATATCCTGTTTTATGTTACTTTTTCCTAATGCCATTTTTTTGCTCTTTATAAGCTTCATAAGTAAACTGTTTTTGTATTTGTTACATTACAATATTACGCATAGGCTGATTTATGAAAAACACACAATTTGTCTAATCATTTCAGCCCAGTATGAAAATTTCCTTGCTTACAGTTCAATACCATAGCTATAGTGATATCATGTTTATCCAATTTCTGTTGTTTCCAGAAAATGTTGAGCACAAATATTTTGAATTTCCAGAAAATATATAGCTAGAACTCTCTTTAAAGTGATTCATTATAACTATTTAAGTAGCCTAGTAAGATTGTTCTCTAATCGCTATATCAGCCATTGTCCTCATTGACCCCTCGAAGCTTTGTCTAAAAAATAATTAGATTATTTTGTATTTGGACAGGTCACGTTTGGGTTGTCAAGTGGTATTGACCAAAGACATGGATGGACTACAAGTACAGGTGCCCACCGCAGTTGTCGACGCTCGAGACCCATCCTAGCGACAAGCTATATGTTTCAACAATTTGTTGAAATTTTTAACACACTTTTGTAAATAAGTTTGATTCCGATTGCATGGTACTGTTGATGAGAACCAGCAGGACTGATATATGTATATATAATGTACTGTTCCTGGAAAAGGTGATGGGAGGGAGTCGTATGAAATCTGAAGAATAACACACAGTTATATCTAACTGTCTAATATTTAGACTTTAGTATGTATAGCTCACGTTACATTTTTTTTAATGGTGATCAACCAAAACCTGGTTTGAAGCTAACTCTCCTGCAAATTTGACAGAAGAAATCTAGAATATTTTTTTTCCACATAGGCTGAATGGTCAATGTAGGGTAAACTTTCCTTTTTCAACAAGTCTAATTTAATTAATTTACATAGTTGTGAATGAAATACATGTAAATCAAACAACAAAAGGACAACAGTCTACTCATTTTCACAGTTGAAATTGTGGGCAGTATAATCCATTTGATACTCAGAACACACAAAAAGTAGCCCAGATTATATAAGATTAGGTGAAAAGTGTTAAAAATTGCATAATTACTTAAGCTTTCGACACCTACCCATATCAGCCCTTGGACCTCAGGCCATTCTAGCTGATATACGAGGCTGGGGTTGATACAGAGTAGGATATGGAAATGGTGATATGATAACCGCTAATTCTCTGACCATAATCAAGTATTCAATGACCAAATCCTGATGTCTGTGACATTACATGATTATTGTACAAATTGGGATGTTGTAATTTAACTGCAGTGAAGTCATAATTGGAAAGTCATAATGTGTTTGTAACAGGAGTATTGACATGCTATTCACGGATTCATGTGATAAAATTGTTGTCACTAGTACAAAATTATGTGATCAATCATTTCATGTGATCGAAATTGATAATTAAAATAGAGAATATTTCAATTCTGGTAAAGATGATTCTAATTCCGAAACAAAGTGTTTGTTATTTGTGTGTATTTTGTGAATGGACTCAACCAAGTTATGTCCCTTGACAAGGGCTTGTATCCTGGGCTGTTTAGTTTCAGCGCTGAAACCAGGTCGGACCATAGTTGTTCGTATATTAAATAAGGTCGGACCTAGTAATCTGATGCTGCTTTCAGGCAAGTCTTGACAAAGCCTTGCGAGGCCTGAATAAACATTAGCAGGTCCGCCAGGATTTATACCCAAAATTGCTACATTTATAAATGGACAAACCGGTTGTTCCGCATAAACGAACAGGCCCCTGGATATGAAACTGATGACAACTTCAGTTGCAGCAACATTTTTTCATTAGTTACAATCAGTATGCTTTAGGATGCAGTTAGTGAATCCGATATAACTGAGTCACCCAATATTTTAGGATTATATGCCAAGTAATTGTATCCGGTTATCCTTTTTCTTTCATTGTTTTTCCTTTAGTGGTCAAGTGCGCCATGAACACTCGACTTAAATTGAATATGAAGTCTTTCTCTATTTAGAACTACCACCAATTGTTTTTCTCAAAAAGTTGCTTCCCTTGGATGTCTGATGTGAATGCCATATACTTATTTTAACTAGTCACAGATACAGGATGGGTTTTTTTCAAATGTTATTCGATTTGTCAATATTTTTCTGGTAAGACTCATATGGTGTTAAAAACAGTTTACTGGTGGATTTTTTCATTCACAATATCAAAAATCAAATCAAGTGGAATAGATTGTAGTCCATTTAAAACCTCAAGAACATATGTAGTGGAAACACTTAATGTAACATTTTGCTAATATCAAGTTTTCCTAAAACACTGTTTTTCTCTATGTACCTGGTAAATTGTATGATTTAGTTTGTTTTATATCATGTCATTTGACAAATTCCTCTTAATATCAGGTTTCCCAACATATCACAGATAATGTATGAGAGGGTGTATTTTACTATATTCACACCTTAGCTTGATTTTATAACAAATAAGTGACTTGTGATTTTAAAAGGAATATCTGTTTTAGTACTTGTTTCTGCAAGTGAGTCTGAAAAAAAACATGTGGTGCTACAAAGTTTACAGCACTGTACTCAATTTAACTTCAAGTGCATACATAAATCTTGTAATAGAGGACTGAAACAATACAATAAACTTTAACTTTGGAGAGAGACTTATTTTGTAAAACTAACTATGGTTGGATTTAAAAACCAGAGTATATACATTTTATAGCAAGTGAATGCTTATTTGTGGTATAAAATGTGATCAATGGTACATGTATAATACTTCTGGTGAAAGAGAGACCTGATTATTCTGTGAGTACTGGTGTACCTGGTTCCTCGTACAGCATTCTGCCTGGTCCCTATCTTTTATACTGTCAGATATCTTCGTTAGTCGTGAAGTAGTCTTGCACCACTGTAATGTCAAGGTGTGCGGAGTGTATTGTATTTAAGTACTCTGGCCTCCACCTCTATATCAAAGGTCAACTATATGTATAACTTCAGGTGAAACATTATCCCGACTATTAATACAGTATGTACACCTGTATCACCAGCAGAAGGTCATATGTATGTTCGCTCCATAGGTGAGACATGCTTTGTTCACAGAAACAAATCTAAATTTAATCAGTTTTAAGTATCTACCTATAACTTGTGATCTTTTGGTGTACACATACTTAACAAACACCTGTACTTCTCATAACTTTGTTCTGACGGTTTTGTCTGATTGATGAAACAGCAAATAGCATCAGCAGTAATGACTGTATCTGGTAGGAAATTCTTTGTGTCGGAGCTCGAGGGGAACTGATATTTCAGATCGAGGCTACATCTCTTATAAGGAAACTGGTCTTTAATGAAGAGTTTAAAGCTAATCAGTCGATCCCTGTGTCTGCTCTAACAAATCTCCACTGAATATTTTAAGATTTAGATGCAAATATAGCAGAAAATATGTTTGAACAAATTATTGAACTGTGATTTACCTGTGCATTTTATTAGGATTACATAATATGTAAAATACAATACATTTACATAATACATGCACAATGTAATATAACATTTCTAAATGGAGTGAAATATATCATGATTTTCAAAATATTTATATTACATTATTCATGGCGTTCTCAATACCAGCATAGATGTAAATTATTTTTCAGTTTACTTAAAGATCATCATATTTTCAATCTATGAAGGAAAATCCCAACACATACATAAGTATAGGAGCAAGCAATATAATAGAATAAAGGGTACAATTATGAAAGGTATATATATGACCACTGATAGAGGTAAACAGATGATGGGCAACAGTGCTCCACAAAATTTCGTTCTGATGTATATTCATTTAACATCCCCTTGAACAGAATTTTATTTGAATGACTCAGAATAATTGATTGTGATTGAGGACAAAACATTTTGTGATTACGTATGTATCCAGGACAAGTGTGGGCTCATGTACAGTGCAATAACACCTGATGTTAACATTACCTGTAATTATTATACATACTTGTCTTCCGCTATTTATTCGGATATACATTATTATTGTATTAGGATATTAAGCTGAAGGTGTACTTTTGTGTAATGCAGATATATGATGTTTCAGTAGGGTTCTGTTTCCTTCTAGTTTCCGTCAGTAGATTTATGTTAATTGGACATGTAGATGCAGATGAGTTATATAGCAGGTAGTTCTGTTTAAATATTGTCGTAGATTGATTTATCATCATTCATATTTATCTTTCAAAATTCAGGGAATGCAATGCTATGAAACTGTACATTTTGACAGATTACAGTATTATTTAATGATAATTATTATTTTAATATTCACTGAATGGTGCACCAAATGAACTAGACATATATACATATATATAAGAGGCTTCACATCAATACAGCTGTGATATCAATAGTCCTCAGTAACTAACATTATGTAAGCTTGGGTATACACTGACAAACTAGGTAGGCATCACATTGTCAGAACATGTGACCTTAATTTTCTGACATCAAGAGTGTTTTATGTGAATTTGACAACTTATTGCCTTTTACTGATTGATCATTACCTAAACATAGCATCCTGTAAATCTTATGTTCAAGTTAGGATTCTACAGTGTACATAATTAGTGTCGAAGACAGGATCTTTATGCAAAATAAAATGTTAATTAATCTTGACGAATCATTCAAGCAAGGTTCAAAATGAAAGAAGGGAAAGGTATCACCAGAATATTATACAGAATATTTAAACATTCAATGTCAATTACATTTCAAATGAGAAATGTGTGTGTGATGATGGACCTATTTGTTGCTGGTTAGATATGTACGAAGGGGAGTAACTCTAGTTAGAAATATCACGTACGGTAGTGAATGATATTATAAGTTATTATAGTAATATTCGCTGTAGCACTTGTGCACTAATTTCTGTACAGCACAAAATATGAGATGTGTATATGTTCCCTAGGAAGGAGTATTGATCTATGATTGTGTAACAGTGTCGACACCTGCCAAAACAAACAAGCGTGTGCTAATTCAAGTATGTATATAATACCTGTATATACATGGTGTTTGCGGTGTGGTGATATGATGAAACAATTACATTAAACATCATGATTTCAATCTCTATTTTTTCGTTTTGTTTACTTTCAGGACGTTTTCTAAAATAAACTTTCTTTAAGTTCCATGAGTTACTGCCAAAAACTGTAAATGTCAATTAGAAACTTTTACCAGCGTAAAAATATCTTTCATCAGCAATATCTGGAGAGAAACCCATGTTTTCTGAGAGTGAAAATATAATGGGGCCTGACCCTTGACCTCTGATCACATGACTGTCGCTGTTATAGCTGAGTTACCTGATCTACAGGTGTAGTTCTCCAGTCTAGTTCCTGATCACAATATGGTCACTCTAACAACTGATCTACAGGTGTAGTTCTCCGGTCTAGTTCCTGATCACAATATGGTCACTCTAACAACTGATCTACAGGTGTAGTTCTCCGGTCTAGTTCCTGATCACAATATGGTCACTCTAACAACTGATCTACAGGTGTAGTTCTCCGGTCTAGTTCCTGATCACAATATGGTCACTCTAACAACTGATCTACAGGTGTAGTTCTCCGGTCTAGTTCCTGATCACAATATGGTCACTCTAACAACTGATCTACAGGTGTAGTTCTCCGGTCTAGTTCCTGATCACAATATGGTCACTCTAACAACTGATCTACAGGTGTAGTTCTCCGGTCTAGTTCCTGATCACAATATGGTCACTCTAACAACTGATCTACAGGTGTAGTTCTCCGGTCTAGTTCCTGATCACAATATGGTCACTCTAACAACTGATCTACAGGTGTAGTTCTCCGGTCTAGTTCCTGATCACAATATGGTCACTCTAACAACTGATCTACAGGTGTAGTTCTCCGGTCTAGTTCCTGATCACAATATGGTCACTCTAACAACTGATCTACAGGTGTAGTTCTCCGGTCTAGTTCCTGATCACAATATGGTCACTCTAACAACTGATCTACAGGTGTAGTTCTCCGGTCTAGTTCCTGATCACAATATGGTCACTCTAACAACTGATCTACAGGTGTAGTTCTCCGGTCTAGTTCCTGATCACAATATGGTCACTCTAACAACTGATCTACAGGTGTAGTTCTCCGGTCTAGTTCCTGATCACAATATGGTCACTCTAACAACTGATCTACAGGTGTAGTTCTCCGGTCTAGTTCCTGATCACAATATGGTCACTCTAACAACTGATCTACAGGTGTAGTTCTCCGGTCTAGTTCCTGATCACAATATGGTCACTCTAACAACTGATCTACAGGTGTAGTTCTCCGGTCTAGTTCCTGATCACAATATGGTCACTCTAACAACTGATCTACAGGTGTAGTTCTCCGGTCTAGTTCCTGATCACAATATGGTCACTCTAACAACTGATCTACAGGTGTAGTTCTCCGGTCTAGTTCCTGATCACAATATGGTCACTCTAACAACTGATCTACAGGTGTAGTTCTCCGGTCTAGTTCCTGATCACAATATGGTCACTCTAACAACTGATCTACAGGTGTAGTTCTCCGGTCTAGTTCCTGATCACAATATGGTCACTCTAACAACTGATCTACAGGTGTAGTTCTCCGGTCTAGTTCCTGATCACAATATGGTCACTCTAACAACTGATCTACAGGTGTAGTTCTCCGGTCTAGTTCCTGATCACAATATGGTCACTCTAACAACTGATCTACAGGTGTAGTTCTCCGGTCTAGTTCCTGATCACAATATGGTCACTCTAACAACTGATCTACAGGTGTAGTTCTCCGGTCTAGTTCCTGATCACAATATGGTCACTCTAACAACTGATCTACAGGTGTAGTTCTCCGGTCTAGTTCCTGATCACAATATGGTCACTCTAACAACTGATCTACAGGTGTAGTTCTCCGGTCTAGTTCCTGATCACAATATGGTCACTCTAACAACTGATCTACAGGTGTAGTTCTCCGGTCTAGTTCCTGATCACAATATGGTCACTCTAACAACTGATCTACAGGTGTAGTTCTCCGGTCTAGTTCCTGATCACAATATGGTCACTCTAACAACTGATCTACAGGTGTAGTTCTCCGGTCTAGTTCCTGATCACAATATGGTCACTCTAACAACTGATCTACAGGTGTAGTTCTCCGGTCTAGTTCCTGATCACAATATGGTCACTCTAACAACTGATCTACAGGTGTAGTTCTCCGGTCTAGTTCCTGATCACAATATGGTCACTCTAACAACTGATCTACAGGTGTAGTTCTCCGGTCTAGTTCCTGATCACAATATGGTCACTCTAACAACTGATCTACAGGTGTAGTTCTCCGGTCTAGTTCCTGATCACAATATGGTCACTCTAACAACTGATCTACAGGTGTAGTTCTCCGGTCTAGTTCCTGATCACAATATGGTCACTCTAACAACTGATCTACAGGTGTAGTTCTCCGGTCTAGTTCCTGATCACAATATGGTCACTCTAACAACTGATCTACAGGTGTAGTTCTCCGGTCTAGTTCCTGATCACAATATGGTCACTCTAACAACTGATCTACAGGTGTAGTTCTCCGGTCTAGTTCCTGATCACAATATGGTCACTCTAACAACTGATCTACAGGTGTAGTTCTCCGGTCTAGTTCCTGATCACAATATGGTCACTCTAACAACTGATCTACAGGTGTAGTTCTCCGGTCTAGTTCCTGATCACAATATGGTCACTCTAACAACTGATCTACAGGTGTAGTTCTCCGGTCTAGTTCCTGATCACAATATGGTCACTCTAACAACTGATCTACAGGTGTAGTTCTCCGGTCTAGTTCCTGATCACAATATGGTCACTCTAACAACTGATCTACAGGTGTAGTTCTCCGGTCTAGTTCCTGATCACAATATGGTCACTCTAACAACTGATCTACAGGTGTAGTTCTCCGGTCTAGTTCCTGATCACAATATGGTCACTCTAACAACTGATCTACAGGTGTAGTTCTCCGGTCTAGTTCCTGATCACAATATGGTCACTCTAACAACTGATCTACAGGTGTAGTTCTCCGGTCTAGTTCCTGATCACAATATGGTCACTCTAACAACTGATCTACAGGTGTAGTTCTCCGGTCTAGTTCCTGATCACAATATGGTCACTCTAACAACTGATCTACAGGTGTAGTTCTCCGGTCTAGTTCCTGATCACAATATGGTCACTCTAACAACTGATCTACAGGTGTAGTTCTCCGGTCTAGTTCCTGATCACAATATGGTCACTCTAACAACTGATCTACAGGTGTAGTTCTCCGGTCTAGTTCCTGATCACAATATGGTCACTCTAACAACTGATCTACAGGTGTAGTTCTCCGGTCTAGTTCCTGATCACAATATGGTCACTCTAACAACTGATCTACAGGTGTAGTTCTCCGGTCTAGTTCCTGATCACAATATGGTCACTCTAACAACTGATCTACAGGTGTAGTTCTCCGGTCTAGTTCCTGATCACAATATGGTCACTCTAACAACTGATCTACAGGTGTAGTTCTCCGGTCTAGTTCCTGATCACAATATGGTCACTCTAACAACTGATCTACAGGTGTAGTTCTCCGGTCTAGTTCCTGATCACAATATGGTCACTCTAACAACTGATCTACAGGTGTAGTTCTCCGGTCTAGTTCCTGATCACAATATGGTCACTCTAACAACTGATCTACAGGTGTAGTTCTCCGGTCTAGTTCCTGATCACAATATGGTCACTCTAACAACTGATCTACAGGTGTAGTTCTCCGGTCTAGTTCCTGATCACAATATGGTCACTCTAACAACTGATCTACAGGTGTAGTTCTCCGGTCTAGTTCCTGATCACAATATGGTCACTCTAACAACTGATCTACAGGTGTAGTTCTCCGGTCTAGTTCCTGATCACAATATGGTCACTCTAACAACTGATCTACAGGTGTAGTTCTCCGGTCTAGTTCCTGATCACAATATGGTCACTCTAACAACTGATCTACAGGTGTAGTTCTCCGGTCTAGTTCCTGATCACAATATGGTCACTCTAACAACTGATCTACAGGTGTAGTTCTCCGGTCTAGTTCCTGATCACAATATGGTCACTCTAACAACTGATCTACAGGTGTAGTTCTCCGGTCTAGTTCCTGATCACAATATGGTCACTCTAACAACTGATCTACAGGTGTAGTTCTCCGGTCTAGTTCCTGATCACAATATGGTCACTCTAACAACTGATCTACAGGTGTAGTTCTCCGGTCTAGTTCCTGATCACAATATGGTCACTCTAACAACTGATCTACAGGTGTAGTTCTCCGGTCTAGTTCCTGATCACAATATGGTCACTCTAACAACTGATCTACAGGTGTAGTTCTCCGGTCTAGTTCCTGATCACAATATGGTCACTCTAACAACTGATCTACAGGTGTAGTTCTCCGGTCTAGTTCCTGATCACAATATGGTCACTCTAACAACTGATCTACAGGTGTAGTTCTCCGGTCTAGTTCCTGATCACAATATGGTCACTCTAACAACTGATCTACAGGTGTAGTTCTCCGGTCTAGTTCCTGATCACAATATGGTCACTCTAACAACTGATCTACAGGTGTAGTTCTCCGGTCTAGTTCCTGATCACAATATGGTCACTCTAACAACTGATCTACAGGTGTAGTTCTCCGGTCTAGTTCCTGATCACAATATGGTCACTCTAACAACTGATCTACAGGTCTAGTTCCTGCTCACAATATGGTCACTATAACAACTGATCTACAGGTGTAGTTCTCTGGTCTTGTCCCTAATCATGATATGGTCTTTCTAACAACTGACCTACAGGTGTAGTTCTCTGGTCTAGTGCCTTAATCATGATATGGTCACTCTAACAACTGACCTACAGGTGTAGTTCTCTGGTCTAGTCCCTAATCATGATATGGTCACTCTAACAACTGACCTACAGGTGTAGTTCTCTGGTCTAGTCCCTAATCATGATATGGTCACTCTTAACAACTGAGCTACCTGATCTACAGGTGTAGTTCTGTGGTCTAGTTCCTAATCACAATATGGTCACTCTTAACAACTGAGCTTCCTGATCTATACTGGAGAGACT